ACGTCCCCAAGTTACTTGGACGATCTAGAGCAACACACGTAGCCAAAGTTCTTGAGCAAACAAAAAAGGAAAAAGAGTGAGAAGAGAACGAACGTACTAACCTCGTCCTTCAAGGCCAGGGCGGATTTGAGAAGCTTCTCCGGCGAAGCTAGATGTGGATGCCGGAACGGCGCGGCGAGATTGACGCTGTAGCCTTCGGCAGTCCTTGGAATCTCCTTGCCGCTCTCGAGGATTTCTTGGACATTTGCCTCCTCCTTCTCGGAGTAATCCGCGAGATTATTCAAGAAGAACCTGTCCGACATTGTCACCACGAAGCTCCTGCTCGCTGCTGGTACTTGGCCGATGCGAGATCGAAATCCCCAGCCGCCAAGCCTCCTTAGAGAAATCCTAGAATGCCGATCCAAGAAGCGCATAATCCATTGCTATCTTGGTGACTCGCAGCAAGCTGCAGTGGCCGAGAGAGAGAGATCGAGAGAAAGAATGGAAACCCTAGGCAGAGCCAGTGCCACGGTTAAAGTGGAAGGACGAAGAAGATATTCTCTGCCTGGAAAAGGAATTAATTGATCCCGTTGCCGCTGCTAGTGTCGTCTTGCCGATAATCCAAGCAAATGGTGAGATTTTCCTTGGCGATCCGGCACGAGTTCCTCACCCGCGCTGTTCCAGCGCCCGTGCAGTAGATCTTGACGGCCTCAACCTGCTCGGGGCAAACGATCTCCACCAGGCACATCGCCGCGAGCTTGTTGAGATGGCCGCACACCAGGCTGCGCTCCGGCTCCGATCGATACCGCGCATTGCAGCGCTCCAGCGCCTGGATTTTGGCGCCGCATTTGCGGCTCACCGCCGCGTCGATCGAGGATCCCGCGTCACTGCTCATCCAAAATATTTCGACCTAAAACCTCCCTCCTAAAAACCATCTCGAGAAGCTCTCGTGTTAGCAAAGAGAGAAAATTTCACAAAGGAGTATCTAAAGAGAGCTTGTGGTTAGAATCTTCCACGACCTCTGGCACGTCCCCGGAATCCACCACCACCGCTGCTTCTTCCGCCACGGAATCCGCCGCCGCCGCCATTTCTTCCGCCACGGAATCCTCCTCCACGCCCGCGGCCTTGGTAAAAAATTGTCAATGTAGAAGAGATTTTACAATCATAGTTAATATTTACCTCTTCCACCGCCGCCTCTACCTCCGCCGCGACCAAAGCCGCCGCCACCAGCTTGTGGTCTAAAGAAAAAATCGGTAAGTCGAAAGAAGGAAATGGATGAAAATGGAAGGCGGGGGGAGATCAAAGGGGGAAAAAATGGATTTGATCGAAGAATGCGAAGAACTTACTGCGTGAATCGTGTGAGTTCTAGCGTCTGCCTCGGATCGATGTAGAACTTATCGCCAGGATGATAGGAAGTAGCGACGATGCCGTCTTGCATCTTAATCGAGAAAAACTGGAAAGATCAAAGGAAGAAAACCAATGCTTGGATCGACCAGAATGAAATGCGCGAAGAACTTACGGGCTCATTGATGGGGCCAAATATTTCTTCCACCCTTCCAATCTGCGCCTTGTTCTCCAGGAAAATGGCGGCATTGAATTTCGGGATCTTCGCATCCGCGACGAGCTTCACCACCGCCTCGCCCTCGCAAGCGTGCGAGAACGTCGAGATCGCTGCGGCATTGTCGCGATTCAATCAATCTCGGAGAAAAACACGAAAAACTCACCCACAACCTCTTCCGGAGGACCCTCGTCTCGAAATCCTCGCGCGCCACCACGAAACCCTCCACGAAATCCACCGCCGCCTCGCCGGCCCCCGCCGCGGAAGCCCCCATCTCTTCCTCCCCCCCTTGGCGGCCTCATTCTCTATAAACCCTATACCTCCAGACGGACGTCCAGCCTGTCAAGCATATTCTGTTACCATAACGCAGATAGAATATTTTAACATAAGTTTTGCCGACGTGGCGGAGAACTTAGGGTTCGTGGGTAAAATGGCCGAGAGAGCTTGTGTGAAGCGCCTACAGCGCGAATTCAAGGCGCTGTGCAAGGTAAGAATCCAGCTCTCCGGGATGATCTCATTGTTAGCAATGGTGTGCCGCGATTGATCAGGAACCAGTGCCGCATGTCGTCGCCAAGCCGTCGCCGAGCGACATTCTGGAATGGCGTGAGTATTTCCTCCTCTATAATCGTTGCTGGATCGCTTTGTTCTTCGTTTGATTCAGCTGCCAAAGTTTTCTTTCCTGGCAGATTATGTGCTCGAGGGTAGTCAAGGGACTCCATTCGAAGGTAAGCAAATAGAATAAGCCTCTCACACTTTCAGGGCTTTTGATTCTCAAGCTTTGTGCGAACGAATGCAGGGGGTTTCTACCATGGCAAGCTTAAATTTCCTCCAGAGTATCCTTACAAGCCGCCTGGAATAAGGTAAAGTTTTCTCTTTGTTTTTTTTCTTCTACACTGTGACCTCTTTTCCTGCAGTATGATCACTCCAAATGGTCGCTTTGCAACCCAGAAGAGGCTGTGCATGTCCATGAGTGACTGTAAGCATCAAGCGCTTGTTTTTGCTCTCATTGTGTGTTCTTCTCGCAGTTCATCCAGAGACTTGGAATCCAATGTGGTCAGTTTCAAGGTACTGTCCTAGATTGTCACGAAAACTTGTCATTTATTTGTGGCCTTTTGTCGCAGTATTCTTACGGGATTGCTGTCCTTCATGGTAATACGATGGCGTTTTCTTTCACAATCACTCGATTTTTTCTTCCTTTTAGATGGATAATTCTCCCACGACTGGAAGTTTAACCACAAGCGACGAGGAGAAACGGCGCCTCGCTCGATCATCGCTTGCTTTCAATTGTCAAAAGTAAGAAAGTTCTTGTTTTGAAAAAGTCGAGATTCTGCATATCAACTTCTTTTTACTTTTCCGCAGTGTGACGTTCAGAAAAATGTTTCCAGAGTACATCCAAAAACAGGCCGAGATGCAGACGCTTTGCGAGCAAAAATCAGAGCAACAGCCCGTCAACAAGCCCGGCGAGCCGGAAAACACAGTGGCAGAGAATCGACGCAACAAGGATCACAACAGGCATTTCATGTTCCCAGGTTGGCTCGGGGCAATTCTGTTAGCTCTCTTGTGTAGTATAATGGCGTTGCCGCTGCTTTCATTGGATCTAACCAAGCAGTGATGGGAAGTTCTTCGTGTGGGATTTTTCTTCGCGAGCAAAGGGTCTGATTTTCATATAATCTGCCAGTGTTGTTCTAAAGCATTACAAATCCGTCCTATGCAGCACGCTGCACTCAAAGGATACTCTGACACTGCACAGTTTCATGCTTGTAATGAAAGGAAAAGAAAGATTTTTTAAGCTCTTTACCTGCGACTAGATCGTCAATGTAATCGGCCTCGATTTTTCCATGAGCCATGGCTCCCACTACAAAAACTAGAGTTTCTTCGGGTCCAGAGGCTGCGACGTAGTCTCTTAGTTGCACGACTTTCGGTGCTTTGTAAGATAGTCCTGCGACGGAAGAGAATTTGTATCACGTCTCAAAAGTTTTTCACGTCCGCGTACCGATTCGACGAACTCCAGCCGGGAGGTGTCGAGTGACTGGCTGTTTTACAACTCGCAGGAGTTTATCAGGCCCATTCGTAGCACGAATACTTAGCTTTTGAAGCAACTGTGCTGGAAAACGCGAAAAACCAGTAAAACAAAGCTAAGCTTTGGATGAAAGATAGAACTTTACCCATGAGTCCACAAAAGCGTTTAAACGTTCGAGGAAGACGAATGTGAGGATTCACTTGGATGAGGACATTGTTCTCAGTCTTGACATAGAGAGCTTTCAATCGCCCAGCTTTGTTGAGTGGACTGTCGAGGATCGCTAGAAGGGCCTGTTCCAGAACCACAAAACAAGTGAAACTCTCACAAAAATCCCCAAGGTCGTGCTACCTGATGCAAGATATCGGGACGATATAACGCTGGATCGCGCTTGTGCTTCCTCAGAAAATTCGCGTGATCGTCGCAATTGAGCAGCTGATAAGTCTGCGTCGAGAATGAGAAAGAAATCAAGCACTTCCACTCGACAATGCGGCCGAAATTATCCCCTCCATACCTTGCCGACCTTGGCGGTCTCCAGCGACGCGCGCTCGAGAACGAATATCACTCCACTCTTGTCGTCGTCGCGATCGCCCTGACCAACGCTAGCGTCTTGGACGACAGTATCGTCCGCCATAGCCAAAGCCCTAACCAAAACCTCAAGAACCCTAATTTATAGTATGGTATATTATTTGATACAAAATGGCGTATTCTCTCTTCTATTCCTTTGGTTTCTCGGGCTCTTTCTCGGGCTTCTCCTTCTTCTCTTCTTCTTCTTCCTCCTCTTTCTCTTCTTCCTCGTCCTCGTCTTCCTCCGGAGGATCGCAAGGTAGCGGCGGTGGCAATGGAGCTTTCATGGGACTGAATTGCGGGAAGATATCGGGTCTCCGGCCAGGAGCTGGTCGATCCCATTCCTGTTGAGCAATCCAGTGAGAAATCTTCGCTCGCTAGAACGAGAACTCGCCAGAGAATCCTGACTTACAATTGGGAAATCTAGAGGCGACCTCTTTGTCATTTTCTCTTCGTCGGGTGCCATAGACCGAATTTCACACCGTGATCTGGAAGCCCGAGGCGGCCTGGAGAACAAGAAAGAGAGCTAAGCTCCAGAAATTCGAGAGATTGGAGGCACCAAGCTGGCTTACCCGGATTTCCATCTCGAGCAGGGACAAAACAAGCCTCTTCCTGTGAGAAATTCCGAAGAGCTGAGACCCGACGGATAGATTTCTCGAGAATCACTCACCTGGAGCGCACACCCACACCAGCGACGGCATCGAAGTGGACGGCGCCGCCACATTTCGAGACGCAAGTGGCAGCGCCGACGCCGCTGCCGACGCCGCCGACACCAGCGTCGTCGCCATTTCTCCTCCGCAAGAATTGACTAACCCTAAATCGCCATAAACCCTAAAATCCCCTGTGCTGGCATTGCGCGCCAAATTCTCATTGGTAAGTTTGAAAGCATTGATGGAATAGGGCGCTTCCACGAGAAGCTAGGGTCTCTCACTCCTCTCTCGCGCGCTTGGTTCTACCAAGCGCCATTGCGCTCTAGGGCTAGATCCTCCAGCTCCCGCTCGCGTCCGGCGCTAGCGATGACGAAGCCGCGGCGGAAGAGCGCGGGATGCGATCCCAGACTCGGCACAGGAGGCGTCACGGAGGTACAAATCGCATTTCTCGTCGACTGCTACCTCAAAGATCGGAGCTACGCGAAGACGCTTCGCGAGTTCCGGACCGAGGCAGCGTCGGTGCTTGCGCCGTGCAAAACGGTGGGTTTCCTTGCTCTTGCGGATCTGGGGATTTTCTTCTCGATTTTCACCGGCATTGTGTTCTATCAGGAGGCGCCCATGAAAATGATGAGCCTGAGTGACATTCTAAACGACTACATTGCGCTCAAAGAGCAAGCTCTGTCCGTCCAGTCGGAGAGATTGAAGCTCGAGAGTTTTGTAGCCAGCGTTAAGGAGATGGTGGCTTCGTATGAGAAATCCAGGGCTCTTACTTCCTTGGCTCCAGGTAAAGTTTTCATCCTCTCCTTCTTTGCTGCTAACGATCTCTTCTTCATCCATCCAGGGCCACCACCATCTACGCCTGCTGCACCAATCACCCATGTAAATTCCGTTCCAAAAAGGAAAACTTCTCCTCGAGGACAGGAAGCGCCCATGCTTGACATCACAAACACCGCGATAGGGACCAAGAGAATTCGTCACTGTCCTGGTAACGAAACTCTCCTTTTGTTTCTCGTGTTGAAACTTCGCATGCAGTGCTTCCGACCAGAGATGCCAAGCCTGCTCCATTCACTCCTTCCAGGCCAGCTCCGATCGATCCACAGACTCCACAGCAGTTTGGGCTGCCAATAGGCTCCGGGAGCTTTCAAGTAGCACCCTCGGAGTTTCTAACACCATCAACAGCTCGGCCTACAAGCTGTGAGCCATCGAAAGCACGCAGCAAGAGACAACAAGTGAAGCCAACGACAAGGAACTGCAAGTCTCTGGACTTCACCACCTCCAGCGAGCCTCTCCGCCACGCAGCTGGCGATACCAAAACTGGTGCCAACGAGAAGGAGAAAGCACTGGAGAGATCATCCGGCCTACCTGTGGACATTCTTTGTGAAGATTTCTTCACGACGGAGCCGCTGTCCTCCATTGACGACATATTGGGAACTTCCCTGGATGGAACGTCCTTCTCGGAGCTTATGAACTCGATGATGGCCGAGGACATGATCCAAGAGATAAGCTCGCCATCTTCAACTCGTGACAGGTACTTGCGTCGAGCTTTTTTGATGGTTTTGTCTCTCCGGGCTTACACATTTCTTTCAGCAGTGATCACAACGGGCTCGAGATTGCCGAATCAGATAGTGGATTCGTGGCGGAGATCATATGCGTGGAGGACGATCAAGGTGCTTAAACTTGTCACACTAAGTTTCCGATTCATTGCTTTGTGTCTTGTATTGCAGAGAGCTGTAAGGTGTCTCCTACTCCCAAATCGACCAGAAAAGCTTGTGGAAATGCAAACGACGAGAACACACCACCCTGACATTGTGAAACCGTGACTTCCACACACAATTATATGAAAGCTGACTTTGTATTAGCAATGGATAAAACTATTCTTCCAATCAAACATCAACCTTTTTCTTAGAAGAGTCCTGACGCTACAAACATCCAATGGTGAGAATTGCGCTAAAAACCAAAGCCTGAACGATAGAACCTTGGGAGTCTCGTGAAGTTGGAGAGTTGCGAGGTTCTGATTATAAGATTTGCTCGTATGGCATTCGTTCCTTGGTGATTTTAGCGACAAACTGGCCGTTGGTGTTGGAAACGAGCGGATCAAAGCGCAAGCACAAGCCGGTCATTGTGCATGGCCAGGACTTGGCAGACTTGATCTCTCTCACCTCTGCAACAGATAACCCAGTGTCAAATCACAAGAGAAAGGAAGCAAAGAAGTGCGTAGAAGTGCTTACCCGCATCAGGATGTGCTGCAAGAAACTGCTTAAGCACTCCCTCGTTTTGATCATAAGTGAAACTGAGGATCAAAGACTTTACAATCCGTGAAGGAAAGGAACTGAAAAAGCAAACCTGCAAGTGCTGTAAACGAGTGTCCCGCCCTGCTTCAACAGTCTGAATCCGTTGCTCAAGAGCCGGAGCTACGGTTCCAAGATGTCAAGGACCAGCAACACCAAAACTAGATGACTCCATACCTGAAGATTAGTGATTGTAGAAATGCGTTCCGAGTTGAAAAACCGTTTCTCGAAGGTTTCCCATCCCCACTGCTCAAACTTGCAGATGTGCTTCAGCGAGCCATCGTGAGTACACTCGGCATCCACGAGCACCTGTGGAAAAAACAAATGCCAAGCATTCGTAACCAGCGGAAAAGCGAGCCTTTTGCATACCTTGTCATAGCCATCGACTAGAGCGGCATCAGCCGTGCCCTGTGCAAGGACACTCCGCATTTCTCTTCCTACAATCCCAGAGTCACAGCCGTAATAAAAGAGCTCGGGACCATTCGCCTGTTCTTTAGAGACGGCTCGCTGGTCGTCTCGCTTCTCCCTTTTCGATTTAGGCGGTCTCCAATCAGCGAGTAACCCGTCCTTCAAGAGATAAGAACAGGACTGGTCTGAAGATGCAAGCAAAAAGCTTCACCGGAAAGAAAAACAGGAGCTAATACTTACGTGATTGTCTCTCAAGGACGCTTGCGTTGGATTGCGGTGCTTCTTTTACTGGGAGGATGGAGAACGTAGCCCCGTCGGCAAGGAAAAGCCTCGCCCGGTTACCGAGCTCGTACTTTTGGAGCATGGTCCGACAAGCTGCAAGGCGATGGCGAGAAATATCAACTCCGGTCAGTGTTCCAGCCCCCACACCCAAAACCTCCGCCATCATGCATAGTTTCGCTCCTACACGTTGAAAAAAAACGTGAAACTCTCATGAATTGCAATGAACGCTTCGCTTACCAGGAGCTGCGCAGACGTCGAGGACGTGATCACCGGATTGTATATCAAGTGCTGCAACAGCAGCCCCGGAGGCCGCATCCATACCGTAAATCTGTCCAGAAGGAAATGCAACACAAACAAACAAGGAAAAGATCAGCCAGGCAGTTCTCGAAAGTTTCGTTTTTTTTTTTTCTCACCTTTCCAGACTTGTAGGCACTGGATGATGCCAGTGACGCTTGGGAAGAACACCGGAAAAAACCGGGTAGCCATGAAACAGGCTCGACTTTGATCCCAAGTTCTTTCGCTAACTCCCCAGCAGCATTGGTGGCACTCGGCTTTACTCTGGCAATCCAATCAAACAAAGAAAAGGAATCCCGAGTTCTAGTACCTGAAGTAACGCGGCAGTGTTTGAGCCGCGAGGTAGACGCGAGGATCCACATTCTGCCCGAGAAGAAAATCGACGAATTCCGGAGGCAGGGGAAGAAGATTTGTAGAAACAGCAGCGGCGCCATCGTGTTTGCAAGAGAATGGATCGCGCGCCGCGGCTGGCGCTACCTCAATGCACGCCATTGCTCACGAAAAACCCTAAAACCAAGATCAAACTATTGTCAATGGATTACAATGAAAGTTAGTATCAAGCCACACGTAACTCTATAGTCCTCTAGAAGTATTTTCTTCTCACCTTCCAGTGACGCTTGAGAAGCACACTGACAACAAGCCCGACTTGGATCCCAAGCACTTCCATTGGAAGCGCACGGCTTTACTCGATCCAACAAAAGAAGAGAGTTTTAGAGCAGCGTCTTCGTGTTTGCAATGCCATTGCTCATTAAGGAAAAATAAAAAGCTTACCTTTGCTTATCGACGTCACCACAAGAGAACCTTCTTCAAATAAGCGATGGCGGCGTTGGATGCCGAGTCTTTGGCTCGCTTCACGTCTCGCTGGGGCTCTACACTCACGGGTCCATCGATTGAAAGACTGATTGCCACAGCATCGATCAGTAGAGTCTTCACTCTCTTCTTTTCTTACTGTTTCATGTGAGGAGGACCACTCTCCTCGCAAATAATGTACTCGGGATCCGACCACCGTCTTAAGCAATCCACCGTGCTTTCTGAGTTTGCCAACATATCAGTGTTACCACCAGTCGATCAACTTTGCAGTGCTACACCTTCCTCTACTGTTCCTCCTGCTAGACGCGGTAAAAACTTTGCTTTCTGGTGTTTTCTTCACATCCATAATTTGGTTGCATACCTTGCTTCACTGTGTGTTGGCTTCCCTTCCAATTATGCTTAAAACGTTGTAGCATTTTTTTAACAAATTATATTCATACAACGAAAACAGAACAATCACCCTTGTTCCTTCAATAGCTCCTGGAAAGCATTCTCCAAGCTGGGACACATTTACATATTGCCCGGTACCTGTTTCCAAAGACTCTATGATTTCTTATGGAGCATTCTTTACCTGGAATTCACACCATCAAGCACATGAATTTGCAGTACTTTGCTGGCTTTCCAGAAGGTGGCAATGATTCTTTTGTTGTTGGAGCTCCATGAGCAGAGCTTCAAATTCTCTGCCTACTGGTTGTATCGTCGAGACCAAAGTCTTCCGCAAGTGATGCTGGTAGAACATCTGACTCGTCTTCAGTGTCGCCAAGTTCTAAATCGGAAGGCAAGTCATGGACTGCAGCAAGACTTTCCTGCCAAGATAGATCTCATTCTGCGGAAGAACTCGAGCTCGACATTGGTGGTACGAAGGATGCAAGCTCCGATTCCATGCACTGTGTAACGACGGGAACACTGAACTTCAAACCGTTGTTTATGATGACCTTTATGTGTGTCTCGGCCCGAATAACAAGAAGGAGTTCGTGCCGTGGGTGTTGAAATCCCAAAGCCTGAATATAAAAGAAAAACTGTAACAATTTCGGAGCATAACTTGTTATTACCTTCAGTTTTTCCAAGGCATCGGCAGAAGACTGCTTCTTGAGAAGCCTTTTGTTTGCTCCTCCGGAGCCTTGTCCTCTCACAAAGCGTCTGTTTGCCAATGTCACCGAGCAACTTCTAACGTTGTAGCTTGGAGCTGAAATTTCTTTCAGCTGGCATAGCTCCTGAAGCTCTCGGACTGGGTGAAGTGCCAAGCTCTCGGGACTGGCAATCGGGCGCAGAAGCGGCTCCAATATGCTCCACCCTAGTTCCAGACTCCCGTATAAGCTCCCGCGAGAGATTCCACTAAATCACTGAGACACTGCAAAAGAAAAAGAGACAAGCGTCAGGAGGAGGACAAACTTTAAAAGCTCAGAGACTGACCTTTGGCGGTTGCTCAAGCTGCCAGTCCTCGAAACATTGCACATTTTTGTTCAGAAGATACTCGTCAATCTCTTTCTTATGGTTGTGACGCAGATACTTGTGAAAGTTGTGGCGCACAGCAACGAAAGCGAACCAAACGTTGTTTACTGTAGCAGCCTTGAGATCACTGAGAAGTCCCGGTTGCAAGTTGGGATAGCTCGCATAAAGATGAAGAACGATAAGGTAATCCAGGACAGCATCGCCTAAATACTCCAGCCGCTGACAACTAACCAGTGTTAGTCCAGCTCCAAAACTTACTCGTCTACCTGATATGATCGAACGCTGGAAGAAGCATGAGTGAACGCTTCAACAAGGAAGCATTTGTTCCGAAAGGTATAGCCGATTATCTTTTCTAGATTGCAGATATCGTCAACTTCAGAAGCTTGGCATGAGAATACAGGTACTAAACACCTGTCAACCAGCTTAAATCCTGCCCAGGTCATGAAGTGATAGACAGCATCAGCGGAGTTGTCAGTAATGTATGCACCGATGATGGCCTCCATTACATCTGCAACCGATTTTCTTCGCAGCCAACGATGACCTTTGTCACATAACTTCCGTCCTATAATCTTTTCGTGACTGACCAAAGAAGAGCAAGGGACCGGTGCAATCCAATCCTTTGGCTCAAACTGCCCGTCTCTGATGTACGTCTGTAAGTTCTGTTTAAGAGACTAGAAACATATTATTGCATGCTTACCACCAATCCTGTTTGTACACCAAGCCTGTGCAAATTGCTGTTAGAGATCTGCTCTTGACGATTTTGACTAAGAAAGCCTTCTTGTTGTTCCGGATATTCAGAGACCAAGTGCAAGCTCAGTGCAAATTTGAGGAATGCATCGCCTAAAAGCTCGAGTCTCTCGAGAGAAAAGCCTTCATTACAGCTTGCAGAAGTCAGTGCCATCAACATCTGCAGGGAAAAAAGAAAAACAAACAAACAAACAAACAAACAATGAAAATAATAAAACGAACTTTTTACCGTGGTTGTAGATATGTGGATGCCCACGAGTTTCGTCAGCTGCGCAGCAGTACTTAGACATTGTAGCCGGTAGATGACTGAAGGCAGGACCATCACAGACACCACAATGGAGCAGTCAACTTCTGGTTGTAAGAGAATGCAAAGTTCGGGTGGCAGCTTGTTAGTCGATATGCCATTCGACGCGCTTGACAAGTCTGTTGAACGGGGCAGTAAATAGTTGTGCACATTGCCAGGCAAGTTGCTCACTTTTAGAAGTGGTTGGGCTGGATATTGCAGTTTGACATTATGTCTGTAAGTCGCGTGTTCCAATCAGAGCGAAGAAGAAACTAACAAGTCTTACACTTCCAGAAAGTAGTCGGAATACGTATTATAGTTGTGATTGAAAAACGAGCTCTGCGCCGTCATTTCTTCGAGAACACCCAGATGAGAATAAAATAACGGTTTCCTGGTGTGCTTTGTAAGAATCAGTCCTGCTTTGATATCTGTAGCTCGCAATGAATAATTTGCAAAATGTAGAACACTTTCGTCATCGTTGTCTGAGACTATTGATGGAGGTGTGAGAGACTGAACGCATTTCCAGTCCACATCCAAAACATTTATCTTGCCAGGAAGCAGTGGCAGAAGTAAGTATGGCTGGAGATGGATTGGAGGTAGCCGTCGTCGCCATAAAGTAGAAAAAAGTTTCTCGTAGAACTGATTTCCGGCAGCAACCTTGAAAAGCAGAGCATAAGTCAAAACATTATCCACAAAAGCGACAAAATCCTTACCTTATCACTGTCTAAGCTGATATTTTGCATCGAGCCAAGCCGAACCACAGCATTTCTTCCACGTCCCAAATCCAGTTCGAAGCTTCCATTTTTGAGGGAGGCATCCAACTTTGATGGCAAGAACAGCGCAAAGTTACGATAGGAGAACCTGTCGTCACTGGCGCTAAAAGAAAGTACGTAGGTGTGGAAGGTCAGATTTTCAGAAACCAGTCCTTGGAAAACATCAGGTATGATGGTCTCGTACATATCCATCTAATATAACGTGATTACTTCAAGAAAACGTTAGTGGATTCAACACACCTGAAGTCATTGAGGCAGTATTGGAGATCCTAGTAGCAGGAACTGGATGCAATTTATCTGATAGAAGCCCAGTAGTGTGTAGGTTTTCACAAGCTTCCAGGCAAGCAATTTTCTCGAATAGAAATGTCTGATAGCTAAGATTTTCCAGCTACATTAATTGATAGAAAATCGATCTTCGTTACCTGCGCAGATTCGGCTACGTTTGGAGCTTGAGTCGATTGATCTGAGCCGATTGAAGCTGGACTAAACAGTGAAACCCTAGGACCCTAATGTCGTAGATTCTGACAGATCGAAGCTGCGTATGAAACATCCATGGTACCGTTATCATCTTTTCCTTTGAGAGCATCTGTGGACATTCTTTGTGAAGACTTCTTCGCCACAGAGCCGCTGTCCTCCATGGACGATTGGGAACTTCCCTGATCCAAGAGATAAGTTCGCCATCTTCAACTCGTCACAGATACTTGCTTTGATGGTTTGTCTCTCCGGGCCTCAGCAGTGATCACAATGGGCTCGAGATTGCCGAATCAGATATTTGGTTCGTAGGTGTCGAGGACCGCTTTAGTTGGATCCACCATCACTTTAGTGTGCATGGCCTCTCTTATGAATCCAGCACCGATTGATATGCTCTTTCTGGTTCAACCATCTCAATCAACAAGTGGAGAGGTTCTCTCCAGCCATAGCTGTCAACTTCGCAACTGCTGATCAAAAGTTTGATCAAGGTTCTTAAAACTTGTCATGTTATGTTTGGGGTCCATTGACTATGTAGAACGCTATAAGGTGTCTCCTAGATCGACCAGAAAGCTCGTGAAAATGCAAATGACGAGAACACACCACACCACCCTGACATTGTGAATCGATAATTATCAAAGCTGACCTATATATAAATCAGTAAATTTTCCATGGTTTAATATTTTTATGATGTTATATAGGTTGTTATGTATTGTTTGATGAAAATGATTCACTTCAAGATGATGATTTATGGTTTTAAGTGTTTATTGATTGGTTATTTAGCTTTTATGGTTTAACATGTGATACTTGTCGTAATTACATTTAGTGTTAATACTTACTTTGAATGATCAGGATCCCAAATTCATTTCAAAGTTTTGGTAAATAATATTTGAAAGCTAATTTATATGTTCCACATGTGAAAGATTCCTGGGGTAGCCTTGAAATAAGACGGTTGGCAATTTCTTATCAATGGGGATGCTACTATTCAATAGGCAAAGCTTGAGAGAAAACTTAAACAATAATAAATTTTAATTAAAAATGTATTACAGAAACTGTAAATGATATGTATTAAAGAATATTTTAGAATATAGATGTGTGAGTGCTTGGAATATGGAAAAAGAATACAGAAAATGTGCATATCAATTAGCCCAAAAACTTTAGTTTATATATAGGAGTGAGTGGTCCAAATTGAAACTAATTTGATAGCTCCCAAAATCCCATTACACTAATATTAATATACGGCATTATAGCCATACAATTGGCCCTCACATCATCCCTTCCTCTCAGAATAATGGAAGACCATCAGGGTTCTCTTGTAAACGGGCGGGGATCTGGAGGAGCATCAGGAGGAGGCATCGGCGGATCTGTAGGTGGTATTAACTACTCCTGATCCCTTTGTATGAAGCGTTTCAACCGCTGCAAATGCACAATCTCTGGAGGATTGGCTTGCTGGATGTCATGCCAAACCTCATAAAATTGTGGTCCAACTTGCTGCAACACCCAATACAGTCTTTTCCACTGTGCAAGGAGCCCCTTAGATAAACCATGTACCATAAAATGGGGAAAATAGACTAACACCAAATTATCCACTTTGTACTCTGATGATGATGGGAGTTGTAGTGTTGTTGTTGTCCCACTTATACGCGGCCTAAGTGCTCAGAAAACTCTACTTGGACAAGTGGAAGAATGCTCATCAAATACTGATCTCATGACTTAGCATCGGTAGCTTGTGGTAATTGCAAAGGTAAATGCAGTTCTGTTGGTAATATTGGATCATAACCATATAGGAGTTTATATGGTGAAGCACCAATAGAACTCTGCACCCCTGTGACATATGCATACCGAAGAGACAGCAAATAACCATCCTAATCTGAATGCTGAAAGTTCACATACTTCGCAATCATCCCTTTGAATGTCTGAACGAGCTGTTCCATCAGACTGTCTGATTGTGGATGATAAGCATTCGTGAAAGTGTGGCATATCCCCAATCAAGACGTCAAAACATGAAATGCCTCAGCCATAAATGTGGGACCATTATTCAAAAGAATCCGCTTTGGACAAGAATACTGGAATACCACTCGATTGAGAAGGAAGTATCCAACAGTAGTTGCAAGGGCACTAGCAAGAGCATCAACTTCCACCTAACGAGTCAAGTAGTCAGAAGCAATAATAACATACTCATTGCAAGCAATCGATTGTGGAAAAGGTCCCATAAGATCAAATGCCACCAACTCAAACGGACGGGAAATTGCAATTGACTATAACCGTCCTTTCACAAGACAAGGAGGAGTATTACAAGTTTGGCACCAAATGCAACTACGCACATACTAAATAATATCATGTTGCATCTTTGGCCAATAGAAAGATCTGTGCAGCTTCTCAGTTACACGACAATGTCCCATATGCCCATCTAGAATAGGAGAATCATGGTAGGCATTGAAAAACCATAGAATAAAGACAGAAGGCACCACTAGCCGTAAATGATCATTACGATTCATTTCCACAAAATAAAGAAAGCCGTCTTCAAGGTGATATTGAGAATATAAATGTCGGAAAGGCAAGTCATTAGCAAGTGATGTAGGATTCTCAAACCCATCTTGAAGCCTTCGAATCCACGGCTCAATCTTTTGAGCCTCGCGAACCTCATCAAGAGAAGGTAGATCTTGCTCCGCACCTTGTGGACATTGAATGTCAAATACAGCAACCGTGACGGCATAGAATCCTTGTCTAGAAAATCCATAGATGCTGGAACAATAGGCTCGTCAAAAACATGAGAAGAGAGTGGAGAAGGAAGAGGATCTCGAGAAAAGGCATTAGCATCAACAATAGAATTCCTTGGGTGATGAACAACATCAAAATCATATATCTGAAGCTTTAAACCCCATCAGGCAGTACGACTAACCAAGTTCTTCCACTTCAATAATGAAGTAACAACAGTATGGTCACCTTCAAGCAACGTCCGAGAACCATGTAGATATGCATGAAGTTTCTCAAAACCCTAGACTGCTGCTAAACACTCCTTCTCTATCATGGAGTAGTTTATCTTCACTGGTTGTAATGTAAGGCTTATATATGCAATGGGATGGAGCTGACCAGGCACACTTGAGCTCTTTTGCATCAACACACCTTCAAGACCAATGTTAGAAGCATCCACACGCAAAATAAAAGGTCGAGTGTAGTCAAGATATGCCAAAATCGGAGGAGTTGTCAATAGCCCTTTGAGATCTATGAACGCCTGCTCACAATCCAAAGACCAGATGAAAGATGACGTTGATGACTTCAGCAATGCTCGCAATAATGTAGTGCGATCAGAAAGATACTCCATAAAACGACTGAGATACTACACCTTGCCAAGGAAGTGCTGCACATGATTCACACACTTTGAAGTAGGGAATTTTAGAACATCTACAAGTTTGTCAGGATCAACTTGCAAACTCTCACGAGAAATACGGTACCCAAAATAAGTTGTGTCTTTTGACCCAAACACGCACTTCAACCACTCAGCTTTAAACCAAAGTTGCATAGCCGATCTAACATTTTACAAACATCACGAACGTGCTCCTCCCACGTCCCTTCTGAATGGATCAAGACATCATTAATGAAGTTAGCAATCAGCTCCGGCATATCGCAAAAAACCTCATCCATCATCCGCTGGAAAGTTGTTGGAGTATTGTTCAAACTAAATGGCATCACCAAGAACTTGTACAAACCAAATGGTGTACGAAAAGCAGTCTTAGAAATATCTTCTTTGGCCATTAGTACTTGCCAGTACCCAAAAGCAAGATCTAACTTAGTGAACCAATGACTTCACCCCAGACGATCCAAGAGATTAGCAGTGTGAGGAAGAGGGTACACATTTGAGATCGTCACTTCATTTAACGGACAATAGTCGATGCAGAAATGAATACTCCCATCAAGCTTTGTCACAAGATGAGGTTCATATATCTACTTCCAAATAACACCCTTCTCCAATATCTTTTGATGTTTGCATATAAAATCTTGATCTCTTTGGGTGACCGATGATGAATAAAAACCTTGATTGGATGAGCATCCCCGGTTGGAATCAGATGATGTGTAGCAATCTTGGCTTTGGACGATAGGTCAAATTCAAAGAGATCAGAATACTCCTTCATGAGCCGGTCAACTACTGCAACACAAAGATCGTCAGAGGGATCGGAAAAGGGAAGAGCAGAACAAGACGGAAACATAAGAGGAAATAGTGGGGGAACAAAAGTAATGGAAGCAGAGGTAGAAGTAGAGGGATGAAGAGGTACGAAAGTGTGGGGAATGGATGAAACATAAGGAAATATGAGACAAGGGGGAGAAGCCTCAAAGTCACACTTGGCATGATTGCACTACAACCAATCCATACCAAGAATGAGGTCAAAAGCTTGACTCGGCACCACCTGCAATGACTGCAACTCAATCTCGAGATCGCCCACATGCACAACCAGGTTTGCCTCATCCCATGCACATGCATGTGTATGGCCATTGCCATAAAGAATGAAAACAGGTTCTGCCGCACGATACAAGTGTAGACGGCAATGTGTGGCAACAGGTCGAGCAATAGAAGATAAACTTGAACCTGTATTAACTAACACAGAGAGAATAATAGGAGACCTCTTGTTATAAAAATGAGCTTGGAAAGTAAACATTGGATGAACCGGTGTTGAGTGAACCGCTTGATGATACTACCGAAAGAAAGATGGAGAGGCCACTAAATTATTTGGGCAAGGTCCCTCCGTTACTCGGGTGACTCCTCGTTTCCCATATGCATCTCGGTGTCCAAACCTTCCACTATAGTAGCACCAACGGGACATTGCTGATGCCAAGGTCTCCACCCAAGAAATAGAGGTCGCTAATCCGGAAAACACTGACAACGCTGATAAGTATGACCAACTTCATCACACGCCCAACAACGAATATTACGGCCATGACCATGTCCTCGCCTTTGTCCTTGTACTCGAGCAGCAGCAACATCAACCTCCATTGAAATAGGACTATCACACATAGGAAGTGGAGCTGAAGGACGTGCAGCGAGAAGTGGAAGAGGCGACATCTCATAATGTTGTGCCAAGTGAAGAGCATTATCAAGGGTGGCAGGAGCAAGTGTATACACAAGTTCGACAAGATCTTGATGAAGTGCTGGCCACAACATTCCTAGCTTGATTCGCTCCAACATATTTGG